TTGATGTAGGTGTATTTTTGGATCCTGAAGCTTTTATATTCTACATAAATTCAAGTATTTACCAGCACCTGACCAAACTATTAGATATAAAGTCAGCCATGTTACCCACTGACTAGGCTACTTATATTCGTAAGTGTCCACCAACCAGCAGTAACCGCTAAACTAAATCTTTTGTATATGTGTGACTTGAGTAGCACAGTTTGGTCTTTTTTTGTTATCCTTTCAGTCCAATTAACGATTATTAGATACAATTTCATCTCTGGAGATGCACAGAACACAATGGACAACTTAGATGCACCTAGACGATTTGAACTGCAAAGATCACCTAGCTCCTCCATCACATACATAAGAACAAATGCAGATGAAGACAACTAGTGTCGCAACAGCCTCTGCATCAGTTGACCTCAACAAACACAAGTGAAAAAGCAACATCCTCAATTACAACACAGAGAATATCAACACAATCACACTTGGTGGAGAAGCCACACAAGAGGTGGAAAGTTTCAAGTACATACTCAGCATAATCGATGAACAAGGACGATCTGATGCAGACATAAAAGCGAGGATTGGCGTAAGTAATATACAAAGGAAACAAAATGAAATGAATAACCGTTGAAACAAAAACCAAGATGGCTGAGTAGGTTGGAAGCATTTTTAACGAGAAACAGACACACCTGGGCCAAAATAAATAGGAAGAATATAACAGTTGTTTCACAATAATTTAAATATCGGATTCAAACCCAGTAGTCAACTTTTTTCATTGCAGGTTACACATAAATGCAGCAATGAATATTGAGATTTATTCACACCCCCTACTGTTATTTAAGAGCTTATACCCGCAACATAACAAAATAAAATTCAAAAACTCATTCGACATACAAATAACTCGACCCATTATATTTCAACAGTTATACTTGGCAATTAAATCCCTCACTTTTTTATCCCGATCAGCTACACCTATTGTAGTATATCTCTGTGATCTTGATAAAAAATAATGAGAATCACTGACTTACGGGTTAAAGATATTATTAAAATATATGTGGGAGTAACGACCGTTGTTGCTAACTTGACGTGGTGGTCGGCTTGCCTACCATGATGAACCAATCAAGCTATACTAGCTGGAACAACCGTTCCTCAAGGTCCTACCATGCCAGACGTGTCAGTTGAAGAGCGGTAAGGCTAAAAGCAACAAATCCAAGGTCCGAAGGCGAAGTCTTAGTGCTGACTGTACAGAGGTGTGACGGCAGTGAGGTGTTTCCTTCAGACAACCAGCATAACAGCGATGCTGATTTTCCACAAAGGAAGAGTGAGGTTAGAAAAGGTCGACCCCAAAAATGTATACCTCGCCTTATCTCACGAATATCCATCTCCGGTAGTAAGGTCTCGAAAATTACTCACAATAAGGTCGTGTGTGACCGAACTCAAGCAGCCGTCCCTTGTGCACTGCGGTCACACTCTCAGGTCACTAAGACCAGATCTAACACAATTTTCTTTTCAGGTAACTCTACAAGAACCCTTCCACAGTCCAGGCAACCTGGAAGTGAAAACTGCCCTCACACCTCTAACAGCACTCAAGACCACAGTATTCATCCCCCTTCAATTCCTATTATTCTTCCTATGTTGACTTTCAACTCTAAACTTCCTCTTTTGACTTCTTCAAGTATCACCATGGCCAGCGACTGTAGTGCGCAAAACACTCTCTCAGGTCTACTGAACATCTTCAAAAAGGATAAACGCTCAGGCATAGTACTCGTAGCAGGTGATTTTGATGCCCAGGTAGGTAGCTTAAATCAAATAGAAAGGCCTTTAAATGGGTATTTTGGTACCCCAGCCCAGCGAATAGATAATGGTGATCGTCTGCTGCAACTGTTTCAGACAATCGTTTATTTTTAGCAACCACAAATTTTAAGCATAAGGAAAGACATCGTCTAACATAACGACCCCATACACTAAACGAACGATGGACTCAAATAGACCATTTTGCCATTAGTCATCGTTGGAGAGGGTCGATAGAAGATTGTCACTCATTCTGGAGTACTTGTTTGGACTCTGACTATGCCCTAATACAAGCACGCATCTGCTTGCGCCTCAATGAACGCAAAAAAGCCACATTAAAAAGACCTATTAGAACCGAACTGAGTAACGAGAAAACCAAACGTAGGTTCCAAGAACAACTGAGGTCATACTTAGGTAGTTCTGAAAACGAGGCTGGTCCAGATGTTGCTTGGAAAGATATACAAGCAGCCGTGGAAACAGCAGCGACACCTATTAGTGATTTGAACTGAAGAGTCACGAAAAACCAGTGGATTTCTACTAAGTCTATTCCACTGATGGATTCTTGCAAACTCATCCCATCAGGTTCTGAACACGATGAAGAGCGTAAACAAATCATATCCAGGTTAACCAAAAGTCTAAGGTACGACCGTGAGCAGTGGTGGGCAACGAAAGCAAAACAGATGGAAAAGGCGGTGGCTGTAGGTAACACAAGACAGCTCTACAAACTAGTATAAAAACTGGAATTAATAAGTCAAGTGTAAGTGAGGTTATCTCTGAAAAAGACGAAACTTATCTGCTTTTAGCCCAGACATTCAGAACGATGAGCGGAACACTTTAAGGAACAGTTCAGCTAGCCTTCAGCTACTCTACAACTACCCACCGTTTCAAGACAATGTGAATGAAACATTGAAGTAGGTCCCCCATCTCTAGCTTAAGTTCAAAAAGCTATAGTTAATCTGAAACGAGGAAGGGCAGCTGGTCCATATGGATTGGCTCCAGAGGTCATTAAGTATCGTGGTCCAATTTTGGTGATTAGATTGACAAATATTTTAGCTAAAATCTGGGAGTTGGATTTATTCCGATCTGACTGGTCACAATCACTTATCGTCCCATTATATAAGAAAGGGTCAAAATCATCCTGTGACAATCACAGAGGGATTAGTTTGACTAATATAATATCTAAAATACTAGCTTCGATAATTTTCGGACGCCTAACTAAGACTCGGGAGCTGCAAACACGAGAAAATCAAGCTGGCTTCAGACCTGGTCGTGGGTGCATAGAAAACATATTCACCATTTGTCAGATTCTAGAACACAGGCATACTTATCAACGTCCGACAATGGTGGTTTTTCTTGACTTAAAAGCAGCATTTGACTCTGTTGACCGAGAGGTTCTGTGGCAGTGTCTGTCATTGAAAGGAGTACCTCAGAAGTACATAAACCTTGTGAAGGATCTTTACTTGAACACTAATAGTCGAGTCAGAGCTTTTGATGAACTGTCATCTGCTTTTGCAACCTCAAGTGGTGTCCGTCAAGGCAGTCCACTTTCTCCATTTTTGTTTAACTTCATCACAGATCTACAGATGGAAATAACGCTCTAATCGACTGAATTTTCGGGCATTGATCTCCTACCAGGAGGTCCACTTTTCAACTTAGAATACGCAGATGACCTAGTCCTGTTTGGTGAAGACGCTGATGAAATACAGTCTTTTGGTAGTACTGAGCAACAATGCCAGGATGTCTGGGATGCGTTTCTTCCCCTTTAAATGTGAATTGTTGTCAACACCTGAACTAAGGATAGGGAGTGAAGTAGTCGAACGCGTTGACAACTTCACTTATCTTGGAAGTCTGATCATCCCTAATGGGTTGGTGTCTGACGAAATCTCAGCACGGATTCGAAAAACTCGTTTGGCTTTTTCCGACTTACGTCACCAACTATGGCGAAGGCGAGATATCCGTCCATCAATTAAGGGACGAGTATACTGTGCGGCAGTTCGTTTTGTTCTACTTTACGGCTGCGAAGCAAGGCCATTAAGAGCAGAAGTTACTCGTAAGCTACTAGTATTCCACCACAGGTGTCTTAAAAATGTTGTTCGCATTTGCCGGGATCACCGGGCAAGTAATAGTGAGGTTAGACGCAGGTTATTAGGTAATGATGGTAAATCAGTTGATGAGGTTGTGAATCTTCATCGACTGAGATGGTTGGGTCACGTGTTGCGTATGCCTGAACACCGATTACCACGACGCGCAATGCTGGCTAGTGTAGGGGATGGTTGTAAGAAAGTAAGGGGCGGCCAAGCCAAAACGTGACATCAGTGCTTGGAGTCACTAACTCCTGGTCTGAGCCATGTTGGTAGATGCAGACTACTTGGTTGGTGTCCACGTGACATCGTTACCAATGGTTGGAGACTCTGTGACATGGCTCAGATGCGATCACAATAATGTTAGTGTTTACACTCTTTGTCTTCCCATAAACTATGAGATTAAAATCGCTTCATATCTTTCTTTCTACGAACTAATTCTTCCTTCCTATACTATGTCCTTATATGCAATCTTTCTTTTTACATTACCACAACTAAACTAACTACTTTTATGAATCCGGTGTTCATCTCGCTGTGCTAATGAAGTACGTCAATTTGGACCAATGCATATATGTGCCTGGTCCGACGTTGTAGCTGACTGACTGACTGAGTACCATAATCCTTTAATCCATATGAGAAGTGGCCCCACGCCACGTACAAACCTGTAAACCAATTTAAGGAATATTATGGTTATCATTATTGGACTGAATACCGTCCATTCAAATGTATGCAAACCATCAGTGTAATCGACACTCATTCACAAACCAACGATTTATATAACTGTGAGTGGATATGGCACAAATCACTTGCCTGAATGAAGCATATTAATCAAGAGTTCTACTGAAATTTCGATTTTTAGATGGTCAAGATTCGTAGCTCAGGTGCATGATTTTGATAGAGCTTTGTTCGCTAAGCTGGATGGAAGTGATGATGTCGTTCGGAAGAACGATGAAAGCTCCATGACCAAACCATCCAGCTCAGAGAACAAAACTTCATTGAAATTCCGATTTCACAGTAAAGCTGTAGCATTTGATCTTAATAAAAAGTTCTACAAAATGAAACCTGGAAATAAACATTTCTAGGAAATTTAAATTATTAAGTTTTGTTAGTACACAAAAATCAAAATACAGAAGATCAACGTACTTGACTAACTTCTTCGCATTGTAACGCCAAGGTGTACAAGGTTCTAGAAGGTGAACAGAGTAGTTTCGTTTCACACCCTAGCATATTCAGTAAACAGCAAAAAATAAGAATCAATTAACCATTTTATACGTCAAGAGTATTTACATATGGAAATTTCCCTATGTTGGAGATTCGTTAGATATATACATATAACATCTAAATGATGCTTCCATTGAAATTCAAATAAGCTACCTACCATTTAAAAACCCAGTACTATCTGCTGGGTGAGTTCCTTTACTAAATTGTCAATACAAGTAGTATTTTGAAAGACGATCAGTTCTGTAGAAATGACCTGATCAACGTCAAACGTATCATGAGATACAAAAATCCTTAAATATGACCTGTGGTTAGCCACTAGGGTGTAGCACTAGGGAATATCAAACTTATGTCCTACTCTATAGAGAACTTATAAGCTTGGAGGATTCAAATCCATATCACTGAGGTAAATTTGTGAAGTATGAAAAGTACATGAACAGAGGTACTCGCAACAAACATGATTAATTCAAGGACTTTAAAAACCATTTTCAGAATCTAAATCTCTGAATAGTTGTCATAAGGTGAACAATGTCATAACTTGCAATACCCACGCATATCGCTGTTGTATCCCGATAAGAATATTGAATGGTAATTCTTGGGATCCAGTTATGGACCGATATTATGAGTATATTTTTACCGTATAATTGTCACGTAACTAGTCTGTTCATATCCATGTCCCTCTTATTATGAGTTTTATTTCGACCTATGAACTATCATTGTACGATTTACCATTCTTGAGTTATGCCCTATCTATTGACTCCTATCTCCCTCATTCACAGCCACATCTGGCTAATTATTGTACGAATGTTGTTTCATATTTTATTGGTACGTTGTGGTCTGTTTGATCGGTATATAAACCGAGTGTGTTTGAAATATAATGATTCATATCTCCGAGGCTGAGACTTGTGTTCTGGACTCAATTGGCTGGGCTAGACAGGGAAGCAGGACCAATCAGAGCTCTAGGCTGCTCGCTCGTATTTTATGCGTCACTGTTTCGATCGATAGTAGGCTGCTCTCTAATAGGCGGATCACACGTTATAACAATCGCCACTCTAAAGTAATATCACTAAATGACTATCTAAGAAAATGGTGTTTACCAACTCACTGTATAAAACTGAAGTGGACATTCAACGGGAGAAGTCAAACTCCGGAAAGTGAATAAAAAAGCATCTTGCAGCAATGAAAGTACTAAATGATTGAACATTGGAATTCGATATGGCATATGTGTAACGATCTCGGACGATAAAATGACGTCCTAGATTACTCAACAGAATCTGAATGTACTCAGTAACCGTTGGATAAATTGATGCCGTAAACAGAAACGAGGCCGAGTAGTGTAACTCATAGACGCCTATAAAAACAATAAATTAATCTCACGTCTACAGCTTTCTTAATCCAGAAAGTTAATGATAGACTCAAATATCCAACAGAATATAACAGTTTTATTGGTATAGAAACTGACCAAAAGCAACTCCCACTCAAACAAATGATAAGACAGTAAGTAATTAATAAATCTTGTTACAATAATATGGTAATATCTAATTGACTGTTATCGATCACAAATATGAATGAAAACACTGGCATCACTTTCTTTAACAGTTGAATACACGAAGCAATTTAAGCTGGACCACCATTGAAAACCCGGAAGTACTGGATGGCCGTTTCGTTTTCTATAGTGGTTTAGCTTAGGTTGACTCGTAAATTCAACTGTCAAAATACTACAATCTCCACAAACCCTCATACTGATAATGATATTACTACCTAAAGTATTATTTAGTCATAAATCTCTACAAGTTAAAGGAAAAGACTATTATCTCATACATATCAAAAAGACCATAGTTAACTCTTAAACTATTGAGAGGAAGAGCCACTATAATCATCTGAGCTTTATCTAGTTAAATTCAATAAATCGATATCTGTCGCCTTGAACCATGTGAAAGTATTGAAATTTCATTGGTCAGTTTAGTTAGAGTGAAGCTTATTGGTTGAACAGGCTAAAATCTGTTACTGCTACCATTCTTCCAGTTAAACCAAGGACTGACTAGGTTCAGTAATTCATATGGATACAGTACACCAGAAGGTGTAAAAGAACATACATGCTCAGTGTGTCTGAAATACTTTTTTTCTCATGCTGTTGGTCGGTAAAATGTACAATGAAGGTCAATAAAAAGAAAATAATAAATTTGAACTAAAATTCAATACAAATTGAATAGTGAAGGTATACATAGCAGTGCAAACGAAAAATAACATTAATTTTTCATTAGTAATGGAAAAAAATTAAATAGATATCTGTCGAAAAGCAGTGCAAAAGTAAATATTCAGAATCAATGACTAAGGCTAAACAATAAATTACAAAATATATTCAATCGTATCAAAACCCCGTTTAAAAGCAAATAGGATAACAATATATACATAAAGGGTGTCTTAAATAATGTAGCGATGTTACGTTCAACTTCAAAAAGATAGTTGTTTCTGTAATGTTCATCAGATACACCTCTCGCTAACAAGGATGTTCCATAGATTGTTGTTCGAAGATACGCAAACAGAAGACTGAATACTATGATGTAGTTAAAAATAATAAAATAAGATTTCTTCATAAAGAGCTCAATATAAAAACCGAAAGACGTCTCGAGTCGCACAGTCAGTTATGATATATGTGAAGCTCTGTACAAATGTCCGTTGACGATCTGCAAACTGACAAGTCTTTTTACCGACACATTAAAACTGTCTTTTTAGCTGGTTCCGATATCCCTAACTACTTTTATACGTCACCTAGGACATTAGAGAGGCGCGAATCGCGAGCAAAAGCTTCACTCCAAGGTTAGTTTATGTAAAGACAGATGAGGGTATCTCTAAGATTACACACGACCTTAGGCTTCCGGGAATTTCTGGGACCATACGGAATATAGTGGCAGTACAGGTAAATAACCATTCAAGACCATGACACGTGATTCTGCATTTCTTAGATGTTTCTTGAACGACTTTGTTCAACGCTGATTGAACGGAACGTTTCCTGGCGTTTCTGGGCCTCTAGGGACTATGACGAGGGATATTTCTGGGACTCCTCCAACACAAAACACATAAACGAATAAATAGCGAGGAATAAAGAGTCCTGATAAACACAAGAACTGATTATTGAAACGACAATCTCGTTGATAAGCAACTGATAATTTCTGGATTGCAGTTGGTAACTGCAGCAACACAAACACAAACTATTTTGGTTCAAGCTGCTATATGCTTCAACCACCTCTCTTCTTAGATGGCTACAAACCAGAAATGATATTAAATAGGATTGCTCAATATAATTATTTCAACTAAATGATGTTTTAGAGGCAACTCGGAAGAAAGTGTATGTTGATCGTGTAGAGAATCTGTAAGAAGTTGTTTTACTATGTGAGGGAATCCAGATTACCTATTTTACTTTTAAGTAATGCTCACAAATATGTGGAATTCGTATCACCGAAGTGAAGCGTAGTTTTACGAGACCGTTGGGAGCGTACACATGTTCTTTATAATAGACTATTAGAAATCATGTAGCAGTTTGTGCTACTGATTGACTATTTAACCGCTGGTGATATTGTGACAGAAGTGATCGCTCTAGGTATCTAGGAATTCAAAATAGAATGCACCAACTAACCTTACCTTGGTGTAAACATGAAGTCAGTTATCTCGTAGTGTCTGGTTGACAACACATCATTATGTTGAGTTCTGCTTTACGTATATGATACCTGAACAAAGCAACAATAGAGCTTATTCAAGCTTAATGTAGGCAGGACCACTAGTTATAAATACATAATCTTGAAACTGAAACGATAGAGATGTCTTATATGGTGTTGTGAGGTTGTTCAATTGAATACTATACAAGATAAAAACCAAAGAAAACTGAAGGTTGACATTTAGGTGTTACATTGTATCTTTACTTACAGATAATTAAGTCTGGGACGACGTTTCGCCTTTTTTTCTCGCTTACAAATTGCTTTTGTTACATAAGAGACTAATCTATTCCCATAGGTTAAAAATATGATACAATCAATCTGCTTAGATGTTAATAACAATCATATCGATAACATACAAGGTAGTAAGCTAAGAGAGAAAATACTCAATCAGACGATATATATACAACTTTGCAGAAAATGAGACCCATTTTATTGTAGGATACACAGCTATCAATTTAAAGCTATTTTAATATATTTACGAAATCACAAATTAGGCTCTATCGTATGCCAAGATACCACCTTATTACACAATCAGTTTTTGATAATCACTTTTGACAAGAGTAATGAAACAAATGAAGCTATATTTTGACCACAAATCATTAGAGGTTTTCACGAGTGTACATACATATGCAACACATGATACTTCGATTCATTCACTTTTCTGAACTCAAATTTCTTGGAACAACCGTAAACTTTGTATTTACGAAGGGATGTTTTACAGATAGGAATCGTCTAGACAGTATTGATTCAGAAATAGTTTCCACCATGAACAGACACCAACAAATGAGACATTGAGAAACATACATGGTGTCAAGACCTTCTGCTCTTATGGTTAAAACACCTTCAAACTGTGTAATCAGGTAGTATCACTAGGCCTCACATTAATAAATTGATTCACAGTCAGGAACATAGGATCTTTACTAAGTTAATGAATCACATTATTTTATCTTTATTATTTCGTCCTTATCAAAGACATCTCTCCAGTATGCACCGATGACAATACATAGAATCGGATTCACATAAGATCACATTTTCAAACAAGCACGACAATAATCAAAACGTTGTGGAGTCCATCGGTTTAAATTCTACAAATCCAGTCGCTTCCTGATAACAATTATCTGATCCCATCAGTGAAAATCTGTCTCACTTTAAAGTTGATTGCTTCTAAAGACCTCAGCTTTCAGCTTAATTTTCAGAATCTTCATAATGAAAAGGTGAAAGTAGAGTATTGGATTTCCTTTTTTCTATCTAATTAGTTTTTACAGGTTTTTTCAGATTTAGAGATAACTCTCAATATCGTTTCCAACGCTTCTACAGATGATGCCAGCTTACAATGAAGATTATCTTTAGTTTGAACGAAATATTCAATGAAAAAAACTTGCGTACTATGTAAGCGTCATTTTCAGTACCACGAATATCTAGAGAAACGTTGAGCTGGTATGTACAGGATGGTTGTTTTTGTTACAAAAACGTTGTATATGTGCTTCTACCCAGATTTCCTAATCTATTTTAACCAAAAAGTAATCAGTCGATTCCCGTGACACAATAAGTTTTAGATGATTTTATAGACAAAAAGTCAGGATACCGAGAAAACCCGCCTCTACATTTGTTGACAGCATTTTATAAATCGCACCAGGAAACAAATAATTATTTCCTTAAATAACCTATCTTAATGGAGATAATTAGTTATTTGCATCAATTCATTTTGTGACAAACTTCTGAAAGGTTTCTCATTATTAATGTTTTTATATTTGGATCTAATACATAACACACATAACCACAGTAACAACACTTTATATTATAATCTGAAGTTTTGCGTCTATAATATTTACACTATTGCATAATAAGTTTGAGCTGAAAATTTAGTCACAGAACTGAATACATTATTTAAGTTCCACAAATTCTACAAAATAATGTAATTTGATCATCGATATTCTCAATAGAGTCTTATTTATGAGGTGGAGAACACTTAATGATATCGTCAAGATTGATTCAGTATTACTAACATAATTCTATGTTGTTTTGTTTTCTGTTTACTGAAAAAGCTAATTTTAGTAACTAACATGACGGATTTAATAAAGTATACAAGTGAAATCATCCATTGATGGACATTAGGGAGTGTAGTTATCCGACATGTACATTCACTCATTAAGATCTACTCACATTAGCGTACGGACAGACGGTAAATTCAATACACGCGTACAACTCAATGACTGCGATCTATCTAATTTAACAAATGGTTGGAGAAGGATTGACATATTACAAACTGCTACTAACACAATTTAAGCCATTCTCAAATAGTACAGAAAAACTAGAAGAGATTTCAATCTAAATCGATTAGAGCACAATCAATCAAAACGAACCAATCAGTGATTAGTTCTGAAATCAACCAATCACAATATAGACTGCCAATTACTTTTTTTCAGAAAATGAAATTCAGACCAGGCATATGATTAGACTAATATGGACCTTTTAGTAATGATAATTACTCATTACTCAGAATTAATGCGTACTAACAGAAAATATTCTTCGAACACAGCCAAGCATACACATATGAATGTTATGTCAGAATATTTTCTACTAGTAATTCATAAAATATTTATGATTATGAAAAGATTTCGTTGAAACTACATTT